TCTTCCTAACACCATCTCTTTCATGTCACCCTCAACTCGTCCTTTCCCCCTTTGGATTCCACTCGAGCAACTGGCCTGACGCGTGATGTCCTCGAATGGTCTACTCAGTGCATATCCAACCCACCTCCACTTTCTTCTAGTGCATATTTGTTGAGCGATAGGTTCTTGGCTGATTCGTTGCCAGCCAGAGTTCCTTGTTGCTTATTCTCACTGTTCTGGCCATCTAAGCTTCAGAAGCGATCGTAGGTAGTTGTTGATGAACATTTGTAGTTTGTTGGAAGTGGTTTTGGTAACGCATCAAGTCTCTGAACCATACAGAAGCACTGACTTGACTGAATTGGTGTTGAAAACCCGGATGTTGTTCACGCTTTAAGCTGATTGCAGAAGATCTCCACACTAGTTTCAGGTTAGTGAAGGCCTATCTTGCAGTCTTTCCGATCCTGGCTGGCTTTGACATCCTCATCTTACCTCCGCCTGTAGTTGAGACGATGCTGCCTAGATAGGTTAAAGAGGCTACTTCATTTAATTTCCTCCTGTTGATGGTGATTGGAGCTTGGTGTTGCTGGTGGTTTCGTTGGTTGGGTATCTTCATCATCTCTGTCTTATCTACACTACATTCACTTGAAGTTCCATCTTCGCTGCCTCGCCTCTTCTGTCAACCTGTTAGTTTTCGCCTGTAGATCTTCAAGTTTGTGCCACAAGACATTAGACAGAAGTCATCGTCGGCGAAATCCAAATCTTCGAGGTTCTTTTCACCGTCACAGCGTATCTCCTCTTCTCGCTCCTCATTGTTTGCTGCATGATCCAGTCGACCACAATCAGGAAGATGATGGATGATAGTAGACATCCTTGTCGTACACCTATCTTCACTCTCTCTTCAGAGGCATCACTGAGCTTCCCATTGTGAATTACTTGGCATATGACGTCTTCATATAGTTGTTGAGTGAGATTGATAGAGGTATGTGGCATTACGTAGTGTTGAAGCAACTGCCAAATGACTTCTAATTCGACGCTGTCGAAGGCCTTTTCAAAGTCGATGAGGTTGTGTTAGGGGCTTGACTGCCATTCTATACTCTGTTCTGTGATGATGCGAAGCGTTGCAATTTGGTCCGCACATTATTGGTACTTCCTGAAGCCTGCCAGTCTGTTCCGGTCATAGTTTTGAATCCAGTGCATCCTTTGGCCTCTCCAGGATGATGCGCCTCAATATTTTGCTTGCTTTGGGTGGACAGGATCGTGATTCCTCACCAGTTCTCGCAAACACTGAGGTCTCCCTCCTTCAGGAGTTTGAAGAGGTAACCTTTCTTCCAATCACTTGACAGGTACCTTCCCTTCCTTCCACACCTTCTGCAATAGTCGTGTGGTGTCAGCATGTCCACTGTTGTCGCTCCGTCTGTCCTCAGTGCTTCTGGTGGGATCCCATCTGGTCCTGCTGCCTTCTCACATTTCAGTAGCTTTATGGCGTTCAGGACTTCCATTTCTGTTGGAGGATTTATGTTCACTCGTAGTTCTGTGGCTGGGCTGTAGGTGGTATTTCTGGACGAGGTGCAGGTGGTGGTGGTGGTGGTCGATTCAAGAGCTTCTGGAAGTGGTCACCCCATCGTTTCCTTCGTTTCGCCTATTTCGTAATTAAATTTCCTTCATCATCTTTTATTGGTTTCGTCTGCGTTGATCTCTTCCATAACAGATAGCAACCTGGTTATTTGATACAATGTTGTCAGGTCTCTGTCTCTCCTACCAGCCAGCCGGCAGCCTGTTCTGCTTCACTTGCCAGTGTTTCCTACAAGTGTCTTTTGTCTTTCCGTGCACTCTTCTTCACTTCTTTGTCCAGTGTAGTGTTTTATACATTGTACTCAGTTACTCTTGTCGTTGAGCACTGGTTGTCGTTGCACTGCACTGGTTTATCTTCTGCTTCACTATCCTCCTCTCCCTCCTCTCCATGCTCTATCAGCTTCCATGTATCCATTGAGATCCATTCCCCATCTTCTTTCTTCTTCATTCCTAATACGCTTGTGCAGGTTTCTTTCCACATAGCTTTCAAAGACTTCCAGTGTTCTTCCACACAGGTTTCTTCACGGATCTTCCTCGATATCTCCCATTTTGTCTTGGTGACTGGCTGCCGTGACGATTTTCTTTGTAGTTTTGTCCTTCAGTTTCTGAGTGTTCAACTTCAGCTGTGGTCGTCTATCACCAACTTCTGTGAAGGCTTTCAACTTGATTTCGAAGGTTCCTTGTACTAGATAGTCAGTGATGTAAACCTACATTTGCTCCTCTTCTTCACCTTGTGTCAAATAGGGTGGCTGCGTCTCCACTTTCTTCACATTCAGATAAAGTCGATCTGATTTTCAGTGCAGTGTGTCCAGGTGTCTGGTGAAATCCATGTCGCCCGCTCTGTGGATATCCTTGTGCACACTTGAACACACTGCCTCACTCCAATCACCAAATCGTTGAATGCGCAGAAGTCTGCAAACAATTCTCCATTCTCGTTCATCACCTCACCAAGTGCTTCTCCACCCATGGTTAGTTCTCTTCCTGTGTTGTCTGCTCCCACTTTCGCATTCATGTCAACCCACCCATCAGAATTTTGATATCGCCCACTCGGTTAGGGTCTTGTCCAGTGTTGATTGCAGTTGTCTGTACAATTCCTCCTCCTTCTCTTGCTCTGCATTATTTCTAGGTGCATAGCCCAACATTGTATGATTGTGACCTTCCTTCCTTCCTTTTCACTTGAACCCTGCTGTCATGATCGTGATCCTGCAGGAGGAGATTGGTTCCCACTGTATGGTATGAGAGCCTTCGATGCTGTAGAAAGGGACATCATGATAGCCACTTCAAAACTGAGTGTACTCGTGGTTGTCGTCTGGGTGACAATATTGGAGTAGATTATTGATTCTCCAGTTGACAGTTTGGAGAGTCCACTCCCATTTCATCTGCTTTCGCGAATTCTTAACATTTCAATGTGATACCTTCTCATCTCGTTTGCGATCTGGGCTGTCTTGCTGTATCCAAACGTGGTGCGGACATTCCGTGTTTCCACATTTACTTTAGCTTTCATCGACGGGAGAGGAGACACATTTTCCCATAGTCTTCCCGAATGCTTTTACCAACTGGCGTCATTTCGCCTCTCCAATTCCAGCGAGAAATTATTTTGTTTTTATTTTTTTATATTTTATTTGTTCTTTGAAGTTTCTTTAGCGGTTTGATTTGTTTTACGGGGTAGGGTTGCTAGCCTTCCCTCTTTACCCGTGCTTAGGACCAACTAGTAACTAGTAAACTAGTTAGCCAGACGAGGTGATTCATCTTTATCACATATTTTGATAAAGATTCGATGGACAAAGATTCAGCCGTCAAACAATGTTTTTTAAATGTCACTTTGTTTGAACCCACTGTTTGATTGCCAATCTATACATGCCTTTCGACAGCTAGTTTTAACCTGAATAACCTGAAGGCCATAAAATTGCTGAAATCGGGGAAAGCAGCAGGACCAAATGGAAGTCCTTCGGAAACACTGAAAACAGATGCAGATACAACAGCGGACACGCTCACACCATAACAGTATTGCATAAGGTTTTGAAAGGAGGAAGGAAAGTTACCTTCTGATTGGAAGTAGTGGGACTACCTAGTCAGACTCCTAAAGAAGGGAGACCTAAATCTTTACCTTATGCTATATAATGTTAAACGCCAAGTGATTCACACAGAAAAGCTCAGTGATACATTTAAAGTGAAGACAGGTTGACAGGAAAGACAAGATTGCCGCATACTATCACCGATCATCTTCCTGATTGTGGTCGACTCCACTCGACTCGACTAGATCAGACAACCGACAACTGTGAGGAGCGACAAGACAGGCATACATACGCTCGCTGCTTGACCGATGAAAAGACCTTAGGAGATTTCCATTTCTCCGATGATGATTTATGTCAACTGTCTTATGTCGCACAAACTCCAAGATCTGTAGGCATTAACAAACAAGTTGGCAGAGGAGGTAGTGCAGGGCAGGGCAGGTGAACGTAGAGAAGACAGAGGTGATCAAGATATCCAACCAACAACAATAGCAGCAACAACAAGCACCAATCAACATTATCAATCACTATCAACAGAATAAATCGAAAGGAAGTTGTCTCCTTCACCAACCTACCTACATAGACAGACAGCATCCTCTCAACCACAGCCAACACAGGCACATATGATGATGTCAAAATCAGACAGTCAGGATTGTCAAGACAGTAGGACAGGCCACCCTTCATCAATCTGAAATCAGTGTGGAGATCTACTGCACTACACTGCACTGCACTGCACTCCACTGAACTTCACTTCACTGCACCTCACTGCACTGCACTACACTCAGCATAAATCATGAACAAGATGAGGATTTTCAACACTAATTCAGTCAAATCAGTGATTCTGTGTGATTGTTGAGAGAGTTGGTGTGTCACGAAAAGCGTTTCCAACAAACTGCAGACATAGTGAACAGCTGCGACCTACGCTGGCTGCATACTGGAGATCAGATCAGATGGCGAGAATGAGAATAAGAATAAGCTGCAAGGAACTATGACCTGGTAACGAACCAACCAATAACCGATCACCCGACAAATATACAGAAGAAGAGAGTGAAGATGGATTGGATTAGACTGGATTGGATATTCGCTGATAGGGTGGTTTGGTGACATCACGCATATGGGGGCCAGGCCATGCCAGGCCAGGCCGTCGAGTGGAACTCGAATGGGAAATGACTATTTAGGTGTTGGAGGTGAGGGTGAGATGTAGTAGATTGTGTGAGGAAGAAGTAAAATCTTCTGGGCAGTGGTGAAGCTAGGTGGAACCAGACCGCAGAGTAGAAGGTGAAATAGAGACGTACTACTGAAGTCCCAGGTTCCACAAGGAACCCAAAGGACAAATAATAATGAAATACTACTACCAATAATAATAATGATAATAATAATAGTAATAATAATAATAATAATAGGGAATTTTTATTGCATTAAAAGTTCCTTGTTTACCTTTGCAAGGAATTCCTTTTGAAATATACAGACCAAGCATTAAATGCATTTATGTGAGAAGATGCCTGTGAAAAATAGATCCAAAGTTAGCATTATAGATGGATTTAAATGGATTAAATTCCAAGAGAATATGCTGAATTACTGAACTTTGCCTAGATTAGTAATCTTCTGATATATTCAATCATATTAATTATATATTTACGAAAACAAAGCTGTGAAAATGAGTCAAGAAATAAAAGATAATTCTCTTCAGCGTAATCACCTTTTGTTCTTCTATGACTTCTTGGGAATTCTTATCATCTTTCTTACTCTGTTCAACACTGACACTGTTCTGGACCAGTCTACTCATACACACCTGCAGGATATAATATATTGAAAATTCAGCTGAATAAACAAAACTGCGCTTGCATTCTAGGTTTAACTCATCTCTTATATGTAAGAACTCGAGAATGTATTCGATTGGTCATGTTAAAAAGGCATCGGACTCGATATCTCATCAACAGTCACCAAAACTTGAGTTCCTATATCGACAAGCCATCACTGTATTTGAAAAAAACTCAGTATTGTCAATGTAGTGAAGCAGTTAATTTCTCACCGCCTTACACCAAGTTTATGTCAGTAAGAAAGGAGTATCCAAATTTACCTAAATTCTACTTGTACTTTAAAGAAATTTTGGGTTGAATAGTTGTGGGAACTAGAAACCCCTACTATTTATGTATGCGAAATATGAAACCAAAAGAGAAAACAAGAAATAGCCCAGTGAATAAAAGTGTGCAATGAGGTCAACCAACACCTTACATCATATATGACACAAAGTAGAGATTTTTCTCTTAGAAACACTCAGAAAAGAGCTTTAGCTTTAATCGTTGTCGAATTTCATTGGTACCTGGGGGTTAGGCTAGAATTCTGAGTTTCCCTGTGATACTTAGAGACTGATTTCTAAGGGGTTCCTGGTTTATTTAGTACTTACTGTCACACTGCTTTATGATATAGCTGACTATGTAGGAAGCATTCTAGCAGTATGGAAACTGAAAGTACAGTTTACTAAATGTTGGCTAATACCATTGTTTAAGTTCTCAGTGAAGTAGTATACCTCACTTTGAACAGACTCAGATATATCATTGATATCAAAGAGGTATTGGTTTATTTCATTCTAATCTTAGGGATTGGCTAATGGGTCGCGATGTTTTCAACTGTTCAAATAGAATTTTTATCACCCTCAACACCAACATTTTAAGAGAATTGCTTACACTTGGGATTTTATCAGAAAACGTAAATATGTGATTCACTGAAGTGATTCTTTTCGGTGATTTCATCTACTAAGCAGGACAAATGTATTTTGCATACACCCTTTTTGGTGAGAATCAACAGTTTGTTTCATTCGTGAAAGCAGTCAGTTCAGTAATGACGACAAACATGGTAATCTACCTAATAACTGAAATATCATTTCCATCCGAAGATAATCAGAATGTTTGTAAATGTTGAAAAGTAATCAAGAAGCGTAGTAACAAGTAAAACACGAATATCATTACCATATAGAGAATGCAGATTTGCTGAGAGATTACTCAAAATATCATAGAAATAAAAATAAAGACCGTTAAGTTTGAATAATGAATTGAGTAATATGAAAACATATTGAATGTATAAATTGTTATCAGGATAAGCACAGAAACAAGAAATAGTTGATAGTCTGCAAAACTTCAACTTTTCTGTTTAAGTTTCTAAAGCTTCAGGAATACAAAGGAGGTGGATGGGTACTTACTTTGACAAGTTTCTTCTTACTTTGTAAATAAATTATCAAGCGGAGGTGGTTGTTGGGATTGAATGACCAAAACCTACAAGGTATTCTACTGTCACACTTCTTGCAGAACCGCCTTCACCTCTTTATACCCATGCAGGATAGTGTTCTTCAACTCATTTATGAGAGAACTGTGTTTTACGTGTTAGATAAGCTCAACCAGACTCACCGCAACATTGATTTCACAATCAGCACGACAAAGAGTTTAGCTACTTTCATCTCTATTTTGAAGGAAGAAAGCTTAGTGTCACTGAGTTTATTTATCGAAAAAGTACATGAACTGGATAGTATACTAACTAAAATGCCTACTTCTCTACCAGTTGTAAGTATGAATTACTGAAAAACACTGCAGTGAAGACAGAAACCCCTGCTCAGAGAAAGACTTTGACGAAATATTTCATGTTATTAAAAACTGTCGTAAACGGAATGCCCATTCTAAAAGGTTTATCATGATGTATTGATCGGTCACAAGAGTGCAATTAGTTTCAAGTTGTCTAGTCCTGAGTGCAAACTGAACCCTATCGATCATATTTGCAATGTGGCAACCAAGCTAGGAAGCTCAGCATCGCGGTGCACATTAGTAGATGTTAGTTGGTTGGAGGCAATCAGCAGGAAGCCCTGGACCTAGGTTTCGTGCTTTCTGGCACTAGTCAGCAGGACGAGTCTACAACCTTGACGAAACTGATGTCCCGCCTGAGATTCGAACCCGCGTCACCCAGTGTTGTAGTCAGCGACTTTACCACTGAGTTATTCGGGCCGGGATACGTGGAAAAGAAGTGGTTGAAAACGCTCAGCAACCAAATGCGAAAAGAATAACTTTTTTATTCACCTTGTATTCAAGAAAGACAAAATATCGTAGGGGACAGATTCAAACATTAAAGCAGTCCTGAAAAACGTTAACTGTAGTTTCCCAAAGGTATCAACATACCAATGCCTTATGGAACCTCTCTGCTACAGTCAACTGTAGAAGTGAATAGTGTCAAAACAGAAAAATGAAAAGAAAAGGTGCAAGAGGTTAGAGGAGATTTCCAAGACTGAAAACTAAGACCATGAAAGGAGAAGGGGTTGAACAATTTACTTTAGCGTACATAGTTCAAGTTTCTCCATACAGAGCTTCGACGATACAGAGAATGCGAATAAATACAGCCTTTGGGAGGTTTCTTCTAACTTTATAGATGACTTTGAACAAGGAGATTGTTGAGATAGGGTGATTCGTGTTCACAATGTGTTCAATTATAGCACTTCTCATCGCTCCATTGTTACCTCTTTGTAACCACATGGGATAATGTAGTGCTCTTGAACCCTTTTGGATAACAGTTGCATAGAAGGACCTATATACCTGGCTTCACAAAAGTGGGTGACTTGATATATGGACATAGAAGTGGTCGGATGTGAACGTTTCTCCTTTGAGTTGTTAGAAGTCGTTGGGCGACAAGAGAATACTAGTCTCAATGTTGATGCAGACAATGTTCTCATTAGAATATTTGACACTTTACTTCTTACAGTGTCAACTGTAGAATCACCTTCGAATCTTAGATTCATATATAGTGTCCTTTTTGGTTACGTGATAAGGTTCTCCTTGCAAAGTTCAGGCTTGATGCTTTTGTCTATGAAGCATAGTGGAAACGCGTTTTTAATCATGACGTTCCTTAGAACAGAAATTTCCCCTTCCAACACATCGGAAGTGCAGATTCGTCTAATGTGAGTGGCAAGAGATGTGATCAAGTTTCTCTTACTACCTATAAGAACTCAGCTATTACACTTCATCAGTTGATTGTTCCATATTGGTTTATTGTGTGAATCGATCTACTTACCATTCCATCAGCTATTCTTGTCAGATGCACATGAAGAAAGTTAATTTCCGACCTATTTTCGACCACACGAGTGAAGCTAATTGCTGAATGACGCCTAGTGAACATTTGTAGAACATGATTCAAAGCAATATTGATGATTACGCATAATAAAAGTATCCTCCATGTAACTTTTGTACAGTTGTAAACCTTGAGTTGTTGATTTCAAGGGTGCGTTCTCTAAACTGACCATGAAGCAGTGTGCCAGTAGTAGATGACCTAGTGGGGATGCGAAGGCGATTCCATCTTTCTGTCAATAAATCACTTCACTAAGTGTCAGTTGAACGTCAGATGTGCATGTAAATAACAATTCCTTCAGGTGACAGGTTGGTATCCCAACATTTATGTTGTAATCTTCTATGTATCTGCATGAGAATGAGATAGTTTGAGTAAGTGGAACATTGGTGAAAAGTGACTTGATATCAAGTGATATCATACATTTATTAGATACGTCTTCGTCTCTTGTGTAGTCGAAAAATTCGAAAGTATCAGGTAGAGAGTGGATGGTGATTCGTCTTCTTACAGGCTAAAGGATTTCAGATAGCCATTTGACAGTTGAATGTTAAGGAGATTCAGACATGTCTAGAATTGGATGAAGGGGTAGAGTGGCTTTGTGGATTTTCGGCAATGCAGAAATTCCCACTTAGACATTTAGTAAAACAGACAATGTGAACGAAGAAATATTTCTTCTGAATTAGTTCTTCATCAGTGGCTCTACACTAATATAGCATTCTCGAAGCTCAAAATTACATACGGATCTAGTCGTGAGAGTTGTTTAATGAAAAGTTATCAGTCTCAAACTATCAAGAAGGTGATAATTGATCAGGTAATTAAGACAATTAACTAAAGGATAGGAGATTAATCATAGTGGAAAGATGTTGTGGAATTTTAAACAGGTTCTTACATAATAGAAATTGTATGAAAACAATATTCTTCGACTGTACTCTTGACTATTAAACATGAAATGTGTTAACGAATGAAACATATTTCTCCAACCTTTTACGAAATCAGGTTAGTCTAATGACGTCTGAAGACTAATCATAATTAAATTGACCAAACCAGACACAAAGAAGATGGTCATGTATATGTGTTGATATATATTTTGTATTGATTAATGGCAGTTATTGTTTTCATGAAATGTTCTTCCGCTGCAATTGTCTTCTCTCTTTTTTATTATCAAATAGGTCGAAAAGTAACAAAGACACTTCGTTAGTAAAGTAACTATACAATTTGTTAAGTTATTCTGCTGAACTTACTTGAATGAACAAGATGCTCGGGCAAACATTATTATTATTTGTCCCTTGGGTCCCCTAGTTGAACATTGGACTTCAGTCGCACGTCTCCATTGCACTCTCCTCTCAGCTGTCTTTTGATCTTGGCTCCACCACTGCCTATAAGCTTTCATTTCTTCCTCTCATAATCTTCTCCATGTCACTCTCTGACGCCCAACTAGTCCTCTCCCCTTTGAGTTCCACTCGAGGGCCTGGCTCATGATGTCTCCAGATGGTTTTCTCAGTGTATATTCAATCCAACTCCAGTTTCTTCTGTATATCCGTTGAACAATAGCTTCTTGGTTGGTTGGTTGGTTCTTCGCCAGAGTTCCTTGTTGCTTATTCCTTCTGGCCATCTGATCTCCATCTTCTGTATCAAGCTTAGGCAACCGGGCAAACACAAATACACAAAAATAATTAAAAGAAGTTATGAGGCATTTATATCTTGACTAGTTCTTGTAGTTTGAAAGGAAATACTCAGAAGTAGACTGACATTGTTTGGTCTCGGTTGCTAGAACTAGAAGGACAGCCGTCTTGTTTGGATAGCTGACAGTGAAAGTCAAGTTTGATAATTTAAGTATTATAACGTGTAAGTGATTTATTTCTTGATGACACAAGGATCGGTTCACAGAACTAACATGATAGCAAGTGAAAATCTTCCATTTTAGTATGTTTATTAGAAATATCACACAGTGAAACAGTAGCATTTACTGGATAACGTTTCGGATACAATTTATTGTTCATATTCATATTAGGTAACTGACTCCACAACTTCGAGACAGACTTTATATATTCCTAATTCTCTCTCCTTCTCTGTGATTACAAGGGTAGTAGAATTTTCCATATGTGTGGGACAAGTGCAGAATCATTTCGATTGCTGTATGTATACTTGGTGTTGATTCGATAAACAATGAAGATACGGTTATTAATCTCTCCCTCTACCCAACTAAGTTAGGGTAGGATAGGGCGACAGCGAAGACGAGACCGCTTTCGGGTGAACGTAGAGAAGACAGAGGTGATCAAGATATCCAACCAACAACAATAACAGCAACAACAAGCACCAATCAACATTATCAATCACTGTCAACAGGAGAAATCGAAAGGAAGTTGTCTCCTTCACCAACCTACCTACATAGACAGGCAGCATCCTCTCAACCACAGCCAACACAGGCACAGACACAGACACAGGCACATATGACGATGTCAAAATCAGACAGTCAGGATTGTCAAGATAGTAGGACAGGCCACACTTCATCAATCTGAAATCAGTGTGGAGATCGACTGCACTGCACTACACTGCACTCCACTGAACTTCAATTCACTGCACTGCACTTAACTGCACTACACTACACTACTTTACACTACACTACACTCAGCATAAATCATGAACAAGATGAGGATTTTCAACACTAATTCAGTCAAATCAGTGATTCTGTGTGATTGTTGAGAGAGTTGGTGTGTTACGAAAAGCGTTTCCAACGAACTGCAGACATAGTGAACAGCTGCGACCTACGCTGGCTGCATACTGGAGATCAGATCGGATGGCCAGAATGAGAATAAGAATAAGCTGCAAGGAACTATGACCTGGTAACGAACCAACCAACAACCGATCACCCGACAAATATGCAGAAGAAAGTAGAGTTGAACTGGATTGGACATATAATGAGAAGACCATGGGCTGGGTCAGGTCTTCCAATGGAATTCGAATAGGAAACGACTAGTTGAACATCCGAGGCGTGAGTGACATGGAGGAGATGGTGTAGAGAAGAAATGAAATCTTCTGGGCAGCAGTGGAGCCAGGTGGTGACAGACTGCAGAGAAGAGAGTAAAGTGGCGATATGCTACAGAAACCATTTGTTTGACTAGGAACCCAATGTACAAATGAAAAGCGAAAACAATAATCTACGAGAAAGTAAATATGTTAGGGAATAACAAATATTTGTCAATAGAGAAAAGATAGTCAGTATAAATTATGATCATTGTCAATAATACTGTAGAGTTTGAATAAATGGGTATGGGATCCACGTCGTAGACGAAACATCATTATTTATTCAACAGCGATTTCCAAGCGTCTGTCAATGGATTCAACTTTAAAAGCTTCTCACCTGGTTAAAACGCGCCCAGTGACCTTCTTACTGCAAGTAACGCCCATCACATGAGGTCAAGGACTGTGGGATATCCTAGACAGACCTGAAATTTCTGCTTGTATCAATGTTCCTGCTCTCATCTGGTAAACAATCCAAATGATTATATAAAAGTTTAGGATCTGGTATTTCACAGAAATAGGTAGTGATTTTCACTTTCAGATGCCATTTATCGGAAAAATTACCAATAGTTTCAATGCTTTAAACTGATCATTACAGATTGCTGCCATCATTACCTCAGTATAAAATCAAACGGCTACATTTATTTAACAGAAGAGTACACAGAACAACTAAAATAATTGAGATGCAACAAATGTTTTTTGATATTAACACTTTCGAACAGAAATATCTATATTGACAAAATGGTGGTACTATTCTCAGATGAAAAAAAACTCTACAAACTTGCTAACGAGAAAAATAAGAGGGGAAGTGACTAAACAACAACTTACTGATGTTTTGAAAAGGCTAAAAAATGATCATCAAATAATCAATGATTCTTAAGAATGGATTAAACCAACAGGCTTCATAATCCCACGACTTTACAGATTACCAAAAATGGTAAATAAAGAGCGAAAGTCAACTGTTACGTAAAGTGGTAAATTGTTGACGGTAGTTAGAGACAGTAGGGGAGAAGATGGTTAACACTGTAATAATAATAATAACATTCGAAGATCTACAGGCAAAACTAACAAGTTGACAAAAGAGGTAGAGAAGATGGGACTTCAAATGAATATAGAGAAGACATCGGCGATGAAGATACCCAACCAACAACACCACCAACAACAAAAACTCCAATCACCACCAACGGGAGAAACTTAAAGTAGCCTCCTTCACTTACCTAGGCAGCACTGTTTCAACTACAGGCGGAGGCACAGACGAGGAAGTCAAAGCTAGCCAGGTTCGGAAAAGCCAGCAAGATAGGCGTTGATTAACCTGAAACCAGTGTGGAGATCTACTGCACTCAGCATAAAGCGTGAACAAGATTCGGATTTTCAACACCAACGTCAGTCAAGTCAGTGCTGCTGTATGGTTGAGAAATTTGGCGAGCTACGTAAGGGATTCCCAAAAAACTACACACATTCATGAGCAACTGCCACCTGAGCTGCCTCGTTACTGAAGATCAGATGAATTGCCAGAAAGAATAAACAAGAAGGAACTGTGGCTTGCCTGGCAACGAACCGACCAGGAACCTATCGCTCAACAAATATGCAGTGGAATGAAGTGGAGATGGATTGTATTGGGCATACACTGAGAAGGCCGACTGGTGACATCACGTGCCAGACCAGTTGCTCGAGTGGAACCCTTATGGGAAACGACGAGTTGGGTGTCTGAGTTGAGGGTGATATGGAGGAGATGGTATGAGGAAGAAATGAGAGCTTGTGGGCTGTTGTGGAGCCAGGTTGAAAAGGTTGTAGAGAAGAGAGTGGAATGGAGACGTGCTAGTGAAGCCGTATGTTCTATTAGGAACCCAAGGGACAAATAATAATAATAATAAAGTATTAAAATATTAGTTGTAATCACTTGTGGGATGTATGAAATGCGAAGACCTCGATAGACTTTATCTATGAGTTTATTCAAACCAGCCGCTATCTTAAAGCCTACTGGAAATCTCTACGTCGTGACAGAGTTCGATCAAATGGAGAAGAACACTTAAATAACATGCTTTTAATTAGATTAATCCTCTGAAATCATGCGCAACAGAGTTGATGAAAAACGTTGTAGACAGATTCCGTGCTGTTGAAGATCTCCCATACCACCTGGTTAACCATTCTTGGAATATGTGAATCAAGTTTTCAGCAAAAGGAAGGAGAAGAAAAGAATTCACCTTATTCAAAGCTTGGAGAATCGGACTCCTGAAATGAGATTTCCTCCAAATCCCGGTCGGTATGCTCATAATTTTTCCAATGTTGATCTTGACATGGTAACACTACAAGCATTATCTCTAGGTCCTAAGTTTTGTGGCAGTCATATTACACCTAATAGAATCGACACTCAAGTTCAGTTTAAAAACTTATACTCATAGACAGAAGACTTATCACCTTCTTCAAGTGAGGAAGTAGAAAGATTCAAGTCAACCTTGGTTGGCTGTTGCTACAAATTTATGAATAGTAAGCAGAATGCTAGAGGCATCCTTCCTAGAAAACATAGAGAAGCCTTATGTAAACTTTGAATGAACGAGAATCTGCTGATCACTAGGCCAGATAGAGGTTCAGGGGTGGTTATTATGAACAAAGTAGAATACCTGGAAAAAATAAACAGCCTTCTAAGTGATCACAGTAAATTTCAGAAACTATCAGCCAATACTGCATGACAGAGAAGACTGGAAGGCAATTATCTGAATCCTTAAAGAAAATGAAACAGCAAGGCTTCATTTCACAAAGTCTGTATGAAACACTCAGACCTACTGGCACAGTAACACCGAGGTTATATGGTCTACCAAAAGTGCATAAGTACGATTACCACTCCGACCAATTCTTGACATGTTAAACTCTCTGTATCATGCGACAGTAAAATGGCTTGTACAACTCTTGCAACCATTGCATAAGGAGGTTGTAAAGCACAGCGTCAAAGATACTTTTTACTTTATTGATAAGATAAGAGATTTGAATGTAAATAATAAGCTTATAATATCCTTAGACGTACAATCCTTATTCACAAATATCCCTCTGATGGAAACAGTGGACTTCATATGTAGCGAACTGGAAAAGAGAAAAGTAGAAATTGGAATTACGGCATACACCTTGAAAGAGCTCCTCTTACGATGTACAATGAATGTGCACTTTCTCCTCAATAAGGAATTCTATAGACAGTCAGACGGTGTCGCTATGGAGTCACCACCAGGCCCAATCTTAGCGGATTTCTTCTTGGCGAAATTAGAAAATGGCCCTCTGGAAAGCATCATAAGCCGGTTAGAATTTTACTACCCTTATGTAGATGATGCATTCTTGATTGTGAATAACGAGGACGATGCAAGGATCATGCTAGATAAATTCAGTAGCGTTCATTCAGTAATAACGTTCACCATTGAGACAGAAAGTGACGACAGCATCACCTTTTTAGATGTCCGATTGACAAGGAAGGTGGATGGAACTATAAAAAGAAGTGTGTATCGGAAACCAACGTCAACAGGTCAATACACCCACTTCTTGAGTTTCGTCCCTTTGCAATATAAACGAAATCTAGTTAAATGTTTGGTCCATCGGACTAGACTCATGTGTTCAGATGATACTTTTGATTAAGAGCTTCAAATTGTCCATGATCTACTCAGTAGTAATGTATATCCAGAAACGTTTCTGGCTAAAAATATGAACACATCCAATATGAAAACCAGAATGCCTACAGTCTCCAAGAAACTACTATTCCTAAGACTACAATTTCGAGGTGACATCATCAGCGAAATTGTGACACAACGCTTAAGAAATGCCATAAGAAGATCACTTAATGCCGCAAAGTTATGTTGTGTATTCTACAGTCGGCCGATGATGACCACACGAACTAAAGACAGACTACCTGACTTCTCCTCTTCCATGTGCATTTACCAGTTCAACTGCTGCTGTGCAGCTAGTTAAATTGGACTTACAGTTAGGCAGTTCCGTCGTCGAAACGCCGAGTATCATCTTTCATGGCTAAGTGAGGGGCCAACCAGATCGATACGAAGCTCAATACTCTCTCATCTGATTGACACCGGCCAGCAAGTTGACATTCATAATGTCTTAAAAGTTATTTATCACATTCCTTCTAACCTCACCCATCCTCTTCGAGTTCGTCTTTTACATACAGTAGAAGCCACAGGAATCCACCTACACAAACCAAGTTTGTGTGTACAGAAGAGATTTGTATAGCCTCTTTCTTTGCTTTGGCCATCTGTACAGCTTATGTATTAGAAAAATACCCTTCATTTCATTCATCCCACAAGTGATTATATCTAGTATTTTAATAGCTCTATTATTATTATTATTATTATTATTATTATTATTATTACAATTTTAGATATCTCCTTCTCCCCCTACTGTCTCTAATTACCGTCAACAATTTACCATTCTACGTAACAGTTCATTTTCGCTCTTTAGTTACCATCATACAAAATATCAATTATGTAAGAACCTGTTCACAAAATCTTTCTACGATAATTAATCTTTGCTTTAGTTAACTGTCTTAATTACCTGATCAATTATCACCTTCTTGATACTTTGAGACTGATAACCTTTCATTGAACAACCCTCACCACTAGATCCGTATGTAATTTTACGTTTGAAAATGCCATGTGTTAGTATAGAGCGATTGATGAGGAACTAATTGAGAAGAAATATTTCTTCGTTGTCATTGTTTGTTTTACTAAATTTCTAAATAGGAATTTTCGCATTACTGAAAACCACAAAACTAAAAACTAGTGAGTAGTGAATATGAATCAAAATAAGTTTGGACAAGAAGACGTTTCATAACATGACGACGACATAATTAGACGGTGAATTGTGACCAGGCAGAGCGTTGAAACAAGAATGATTAGAAGTTTTGACTTCAGAAATGAATAATATCAGAAGGGGGGAGGAGAGGTGATTTCAGAGACTGAAAGGAGAAGGTGTTGAACAGTTTTCTTTTGCGTGCACAATTCAGGTTTCTCCATATGGTTGGCAAGAGTTTCGAAAATGCAGAAAATATGAAGATATACAGTCTTTCGAAGGTTTATTTTTACTCTTTAGATGACTGTGAACGAGGAGGTTGTTGAGATGGTGAGATTCGTGTCCACTACACCTTTAATTTTAGCCCTGCTAATCGCTATACTAGTGTCAGTGTTGATGCAATGAATGTTTTCTTGTCGCTCAAAGACTTCGAACATCTCAAAGGAGAAGCATTCACATCTGACCACTTCTGCGTACATATATCAATTCATCTGGTCGTTTGATGCAACTGTTGTCCAAGAGTGTTCAGGAGCACTATCCCACATGGTTACAAGGAGGTAACAATAAACCGATAAGCAGTATTATAATTAATCAAATCGTGAACACGAATTACGCTATCTGAAGAACCTCCTCGTTCAAAGCCATCTATAAAGTGAGAAGAAAACTCCCAATGGCTGAATGTCTTCGTTGTCTCTGCATCGTCGAAGCCCTTTTCATCTTTCTGTTTTGACACTATTCATTTCTTAAGTAAATTTCTATTCATTCTTGTTTCAACGCTCTGCCTGGTCACAATTCACTGTCCAATTATGTCGTCGTCATGTTATGAAACGTCTTCTTGTCCAAACTTATTTTGATTCATATTCACTACTCAACAGTTTTTAGTTTTGTGGTTCTAATGACAGTTCAGATGATTGACACAATTTTTGTTGCCAGTCATGCTTGATAAACTGTTTTTCACTACCGAATCCTTATAGTAGGAAAATGTGTAAATTTATGATTGTCTATCTTTGGAAATGAAATCGTCGAGGAGAGACTCTTCACTGAAGTACTCGTTCTTCTTTCATAAAATAATTTCACGGTTTGTAAAATGTTCCCATTTTCTGTATCGATGTCATGTAAATGAACCATGAACCTGTCACCCTTGTGTTTACAATGAGAACGTTCAAGTGGTCTCTTCAACTACCGTAACCCTCAGTATATCTTACAAGAATAAAAAGTACTCTTTAAACAACCAAGTTTCGTAGCATGAGAATGAGAGATATTCGAAGCTTTTTTCACTTCTTCAGGTTTAGTTGACATATCATCCTGGTATAACTTTCGCTGCGAGGTGAGATATGGAGGAAAAGTCGGAAAAAAAAATGAGAACACGATGTTAGAGTAAGTCATCCGGAAACTCTTACCACAATATTTCCATTATTATAACACAAGTATGTATATGAGTACTAAATATTTGTTGATCAGGAGAAGAGACTCTTAGTTTTGCTCAGTTGATTTTTATGCTGTTCTCTATAAGGAAAAGAGAAAACGTCTTTTACATATATACTAGGTGATGATTGAGGGTGAAATGAAAATGTGAACCGCGACCGGATTCGAACCAGCAATCACTGGGTTTCCGGTTCGATACTCTACCAGCTGAGCTACGTGGTTTGTTACATTATTAATTTATTACTCACTATGAATAATATCATTCAGAATCAATAGTAATCCGTCAAGAAAGAAAGCATGCACATTTTTTTCCAACAGAGCAATAAAATAAGCAAAGAAGATGTAGTCTCGTCATACGTATTAAGTTTAATTTTTCTTGGAAAAAAACAGTTTATTATTATTATTATTATTTGTCCCTTGGGTTCCTAATGGAACTTACGGCTTCACTAGCACGTCTCCATTCCACTCTCTTCTCTACATCCGTTTCAACCTGGCTCCACAACAGCCTACAAGCTCTCATTTATTCCTCACACCATCTCCTCCATGTCACCCTCAACTCAGACGCCAAACTCGTCGCTTCCAACTCGGGGGCTTGGCCTGGCATTTGATGTCCCCAGTCGGCATCCTCAGTGTATGCCCAATCCATCTCCAATTCCTTCTATAATAATAATAATAATAATAACCGAGGCTTTATTTATTTATTTATTTCACAAATGCTCTACAGAATTTTAAGCATGTCATGTAGCATCAATTGGACAGAAATAGTCTACATGTATACAAAGTAAAATGAAGATTTATTTAGTCGTCAACTTTCTTGAGAATGGACAGTTAACTTAGGTAGACAGTCACATTAGCAATAAGATTCATAATACTTAAATAACAGCCACATGTGTACTCACTAATTACTTTGCTTTCTTAAACAGAAGTTGATTAGTTAGTGTCATTTGTAATACTTACTTCGTTACACAGAGGATCAGCTAAATACGATTTCATAGAGTTTTATATTTTGTAGTATGTCTTTGCTCCTTGGGTTTCTAGATGATCAACACACAGACAGCTTTGATTGAAGAGGATGCTGTTCATCTGATGTTTACGTGAGTTGAGATGTTTGTCCACAACTGTTTTAATTAGAAGGTTTGGGAGTACACCAGTAGTTCTGCTAACATTCTTCAAAGTTCTATGCAATATAGCATAGTCTTTTCTTAGTCACTCAGGAAGGAATAAAGGAGAACAGGAGAACAGGCAAGATGTGGGAGTTTATAAAACACGAGATGAGAGGCTGAGTTACATCAGATACTTTCAGCTCCGTAATATGGAAAGTTAGGTGAAAAAGTTCTTTTAGAAATCAGTAAGATATTGGAGGGTCAGGAAAGATTCGAAGAAAAACAGACACGGAGATAAATCATACTTGTTACATTCTGTAATGCACAACTATGAGTAGGAGAGGAATCCTGAGAATTTAGCAGTTAATATAGGTTATGTTCATGTGTGAAAGTAAAGTTTATGGTCTGAAATTTTGAAGAATTGAGCGTGAGACCATTTATGGAGGAATATCTTCTAACAGTAGAAAAAAGCTCGGACCACACTTCCCTGTAAAACGTTGGAATTATTTGATTTCAAACCCTCTGTGAATTACACAAATACAATCTATATCTAATATCAGAAAATCATTGAGTTTAAAACGATCTTTTGAAGAAGAGACATGCATGGAAACTGTCATATCATCAGCATTTTGAGGAAATTGATGCTTACCAACGATAATAAGTCATACAGAAAGATTGATAAAAGACAGGGGTGAAGGACAGCTTTTTAGGGAACTTCAGATACAGTAATCAATGAGGTGGAGCGTTTCCCTTTGTGAACAGTACGATGTTTCCTTTCACAGAAACAACAATACAACTACCTGATAATCCAGGTCTCAGTAGTAGCTCCGTGCAGCTTGTCTTGGGACAGAATCAAATGCTGAGGTACAGTCTAAAGAAACACATCTGGAATAGTTGGCATTCCTATCAAAATTGCAAACAAAATTATGATATAAGACAGTGGTGGCACCCAGAGTCCTTCTTCTGCTTTTATATGCATATTGATTGAGATCCCCAAAAACCTACAACAAGGATTTGAACACAAATATTATTAACTTCTCGATATTTTCAAGAACGGAGAAGTAACTGCAATTAGGTAGAATTTCGAACATAGACCTGTAGTCCTTGACTTAGTTACGGGGACTATCTTAATATCTTCCAGGCAGCTGGTATGGTGTTTTCTGAAAACGATCCATTGAATATGTCAGCTAATAGATGGCGAAGAATACCAGTGCACATCGTGAATACTAAGCCTGACTTATCATCGCTGTCAAATATATTCCAGTCTGTACGTTGTAGCATTTATCTTAGATTAAGTATGTTACTATATGAATAGTTTCTATTGACAGTTTTCTTATTTGTGAAGGCTCCTTTGTTTGGTTTGCCTTATCTTTTGAACAAAATACACATACTGGAATGATCTAAGCAGTGGGGATCTCTTTCGAGTTTCATATACATATACATATATATATATATATGTATATATATATATATATATATATATATATATATATATATATATATATATATATATATATATAGCAGTATCACTGACGAATACCAAGTCTAGAGTTGCACCTTGACGTAAAGTTAACACGGTTTTGATGACCAAGAGCTTAGAGAAAGCTTAGGCCACAAGAATTGAAATCACCACATATTATCGACAGGGAACCACATAGTATTGGGGGCTTGAGAAGTCCGTGTAATCATTTGAAGCATATGTATCTCGAAATGTACTAATGAGTACTGATGTAGGTAACTGCACCACCTCCATTTTTCTTAGTGGAGCTACATCCATCTTGACGGAGAATTATGAGACCATTCAGAGAAATAAAACTGTTATCATAAAGTTCATATAACCAAGTTTCTGGTAGTAAAATATTACGATGAACATTGAAGGGTATAAGAGATTGGAAGTTATCCACTTTCCCCTGCGATGACCTGCAGTTCGGGCTTGTAATTTCAGGTAGAGTCATTTGACATAATGTTATTTTCTTCAAAGCAAACTGCCATCCTCTATGGTCCTTTTTCGTCATTTTATTTGATACTGGCATAGCAGAAGGCCGTAAACTTTTTAAAAATGTGCCTGAATATATAATCCAATCAGAGGACAAACGTGTATAAAGATTTGATACAACTTGTTAGATGGAAAATTTAGTACCCAGACATTTCAGCAAGTCGCTTCAATCAGCATAAAAGTATCAGGAGCACGAATGGTTAGAAAATTGTCTTAGAAGTTTCCTTCGTAAATGTAAAAATATGAACAAAACTCAGAGTTATCTTTTCTGAATTTTCATTTCTACACCTATGTGTAAACAGTGAGTACAAGTTCTGTTATCGAAGTATGACAGAATGTAAAGATTATTTTGAATGTTTTAATCTTGTCTGCTACATGGCTATTACTAATCAAGTGGGAAAAATTCAACTTCCACTCTAACTTATCGATTTTCTATTCACCTAGTTAGTTGTTGTATAAAGCACTTTTTTAAGTTTGTTAGCAACATATACTATCCCTTTTTATTTATACATCAAAGTTATTCTAAACTTCACTCAACCTTCTTTCTAACATAATTGTTTTCATAAACAGAAGTAAAGAATTCTGAAATATGTATCACATTTACAGCTGTAAGTAAGCATTAAAAAATGTGATCATGAACGTTCCATCATATATTTACAAATATACAGCTATGAAAATAAATCATGGAAAAGATACTTATCTACCCTGTAACCTCTTTTTACTTTTCAAGGAATGTACTGTCAAATATTATTGATAGTAAATGGATAAATCACTAAATTAATCACTTTCCCTATGTTTATCAGTACTGCCATTACCAGGTGTGATTGATAACATGACAAAGCATGATAACTGTTTAGTGTTCTTCTTTAAGGAGTAGATACTTATGGAATCACCTTGCATAGAAGATGTAACATTCAAGGATAAACCTCAAAGCTTAAAGAACATCAAGAAATCAACATCCTCTACTATTTTATAACCAAACATACTAGATTGTATGATTTCGCTTCGCCTCATCAAGACTATTATTTTCAACTGATACTGATCTATTTTCTACTGTGCACGTAGATAAACATAAGAATACAAGTCTTTATGTATAATTTTACTTGACAAATCAGCGCATAACTAATTACCAATAATGAGGGATAAAGTTTCATTCTGATTCATTCATTTCTTCCGGATGTACATATATATATATATATATATATATATATATATATATATATATATGAACTTAGAAATGAAGCATTTTTCCTCGTAAAAATAAAAACCATCTCATTTATTATTTATTCAAAATAGAGTAATTGCTGAAAAAGTTATCAACTATGAACAACAGACTTTTAAAAACTTCAGAACCACATATGACCGAGTACTCGATTATGCATGATGAATATTTCGTCCGTGAATACTATTTTTTTTTGTTTCATTATTGAATTGACATGAGCATCATTTTGGTGTATGTATGTATGTGTGTGTGTGTGAATGTGTCCCTGGCTGAATTTCCCATCCATCCATCAGGCCGCAACCACACACAATTAATAGATAGTTATGGTATCCTGGATTATGAAGAGAACTGACTGACCTAGAAACAAAAATACATTTCATTTGTAAAAGAGGAAATTTTTTTTTAAAGCCGACTACTTTAAAAAAAAAAGCGTACAAGCGGATATTACAAAAGCTTACTACCTTAAAACTTTGTCTTTATTCAAGTGTGATGAGGTGATAAAATGCTGTTATCGAAGACAGACAATAATGTTTATTCGAAGAAGAATCTTGTTCATAAGATATTCTACTTTTTAAGGACAATTTACACAAGAAATAAAGTAATAATTCATCACATTTTTTCAGTTTTCGATCAAACTACTGATTAGTAAGACTTGTAGTGTTGATATGAACGCATCGATATGCTACAACTAGTATATTTGAAAGTCTAGTTCTCTTTCATAAGTTCACAATTCTGACTGATGATATTCTTATTAATGAATATCTCGAAGGAAACAACCATCGATGTTCTGAGTTGACATTCTGATCTTATTTTGTAACTAAAAGATAAGTTCTAACATGATAGAAAAGACTTATAGCTTAGTATGAGTATGATGACGGTTTAGTGTTCTCTGAATCCTGATATTTTGTAGTTAATGTTTCATCGCAAGACTTATTGATATTTTCAGCACAAACTTCATAAAACAAGTGAAGTATATTCGAATATTCTGCTAGTGTTTAAATAGTGTTTAGTTGGAGAACTCTTGAAAACCTAAAACATTCGATAGTTGTTTTATATCAAATACATTGGAATGAACTTCCCAATGTTCTAATGAAAACTCTTTGCCTGTGAGATCAGCAAATTCTGGAGTCAAGTGGATGTACATAGCTGATATTGGATCTTTGCCATGCTAAATCGCAAACTGATAGTATTAAGTAAGTGTAGACCATTGTGTCACATTTATTTGGCTGAATGATAAATTGAGTTTCGACTAACCTCTAGAGTAGTGCGCTCCCATTGAAATCTACCGATATCTTATGCTGACAATTTGGTCAATAGATCACTGATAATTCACTGTGTCCAATTCATGAGGATAACTTTATAAGAGAATTTTAACAAACATGACTCCAATGATAGTCAATTCTTGAAAAATTATGATATAGCGTTACATAAATTAGGCTGAATTTTAAATAAAGTGGATTCAGAAATCCACAATCTCTCATATATTAGCCAATAGAAATCATCTTTAACATGTTGACATCTGAAATCGATAGTATAAAGACTTTCTCATCTTTGTATGTATGAAGTAAAAAACAAAATATAATCAGGTGTTTGTCTTTCGGAGTAAGATCGATTATTTCCAAAGAGTGTCTGACAAAAGCGCTACTGTGTATCCATGATGTTACAAATTAACACCAATTACAATAGTCCTAAATAAGAATTGATGACGGTATACAAGAAGACATTGCTTACGTAACTACCATTCAAAAGTGACGTTTCAAGTGACATCGTATCACAATGTCTAACTAGAATAGTCAGCAGAACGTTTTATGCAGATCGCCTCTGTATATCTTTCAGTAGCTAGGCATGTTCTTTGTGATATACAACTAGACAGGTGAGTCTTCAGATACGACAGTATTTACCAGTTTGATGAGGGAAAGATGAAGTGAATCTGATGAAACGTTTTATCCTACTGCACCTAATAGACATAGGGCATCACATAGATGCTAGTAAAAAACTACCACTCATAGCTCACCAATGACTGCTCAACACAGCTAAGGCTGTTACAATACGACTGATGGAACCTGAAATTTGCTTTGAAAAAGGTATTGTTCTCTTCTTGGCTTTTGATAAGGTGAAGGCCACTTTTGTCTTCATCTGCACATATTATTATTATTATTTATCCCTTGGGTTTACAGTGGAACATACAGTTTCACTAGCACGTCTCCATTCCACTCTCCTCTCTGAAATCTTTTCAACCTGGCTCCACAACAGCCTACAAGCTCTCATTTCTTCCTCACACCATCTCCTCCATCTCACCCTTAACTCGGACACCCAACTCGTCACTTCCCATGGGAATTCCACTGGAGGGCCTGACACTTGATCTCCCCAGTCGGCATTCTCAGTGTATGCACAATACAATCCATCCCCCTCTTCCTTCCACTGCATATTTGTTGAGTGATAGCTTCTTGCTTCGTTGGTTCGTTGCCAATCAGCCAGCCAGCCAGCCAGAGTTCCTTCTTGCTTATTCTTATTATTCTGGCAATTCATCTGATCTTCAGTAACGAGGCAGCTTAGGTGGCAGTTGCTGATGAATGTGTAGTTTGTTGGGAACACCTTTCGTAACGCGCCAAGTTTCTGAACCATATAGGAGCACTGACTTGAAGTTGGTGTTGTTCTTGTTCTTTAATTATTCTAATAGTGACAGACTTAAAAACAAAGTCGAATTCCTTACAGTATCTCAATTTCACTCCATTTTTGGTTTGTTTATACGCTGTACAGTTTACAATACCTGATAAAGATGAACAGTGTAATTTGTCAACACTTGGTAAATTACAGCCACTTTTGTCATAATATCAAATATTTTTTAACGAATTCAGTTTTTACTTTTATTTTAACCTTCATTTCAGTTTTCACATCTGACTTTTATACTACTTCTAAACCCTTTGTTACCTGTGACATGTACATGATCAGACTGGCTATAAAAACGAGGTGAGTACTACAAAAGTTATGCTTGTACCCACTAAAGACACATTCAACTCCTTATGCCTAACTTCCTTACTCTTTTCCTGGAACTTTCTTCATTAGTTATCATTTCACTATTAACACCCTCATCGTGACTTCGGTCCCCTTTCGAACCTTCTTTTCACTTCTAAAGTGTACACCAAACCATTAAAATTCATAACTAGAAACAGTTTGTCACCTGATAAATTCTACACCTTTATTATTATGATCATAAACTTGAAGGTTATTAAGTTATTGCTTTATGTAAGTGCATTTTTTGAGAAACCCTTTTAAATAGCATAATTGATGTAGTATCAATCTATAGTTCAATGCCAGGTGGTTACTTGCTTTCGCTGATGATAGAGATGATTTTAAAGCTTCAGTGAATGGTGTTATTCGAAAAGGGAAAGTGTTTTCCATGTTGAACTTTATTCTCTCTTCTTCATGACTGAATAACCCGTCTTTTGTTGTGTAACTTGATCTCTCAAAACGTTTTGCTTAAATCTGCAACGTGACACGAGGATCAGTCGATTCCAAAGCACTATTCAGCATGAATTGACATTGGATGTGAGCAGAAATACTCGCCGATGTCATATTGGAAATTGATGAGTAAGAAAATGAGGAGCATTAAATTTCATCCACTAGTTCAGTGTCAACTAGCCCACCACGAAATCTCAAAGTCCTGGATTTGACCAGTGATTTGCTTATAGGTCCTCAGCGCTGAGAAGTTCTATACAAGAACGATAACGCTGTCCAAAGCTTGCTGATTTTTACTGGTTATCCAAAATATGTCAGTCAGTGATAAATATCATATTGACAGCTGTTCACTGTCTTGTGTGAATCAATAAACATGACTAACGTGGACTTTGTTGCTTATTTTGCGAAGTG